AACATTTTGTATTGTTGAAACGTTCACGTTACATATAATTGCAGAGGAGAATTAGATCCGAAGAAAGTATTTGTAATGTGGATTAGCTGTATCTTCAAATTGGTATCTAAATTTGCGAATTCCAAATCTTTCTTTCTTTTCTCTATTTCGGACCGGTAAGTAAAAGTTAGACTATATATACATACTTTCATTTTTAGGATAATAGGATAACCTACATTGAAATCCTGCTATCAGAGAGTTTGTTTTTCTACTAATAAGTATTTGTCACCCCTTCAGACATCCCAGGAAGTACATCGGAGAAGGACGTGGTTGCCACTCAGCCTCCTCGCAGCAGTACCAGTTTACCGTCACTGAAGCTAGCCAAGAGTCCCGTGTCGACTCAGCCTCGCACGTCTAGCCTGGAAGAGCAGAGAGGAGTTCAGGTTGGTTTGTGAGGAATTGTAGAAAATGTGTGAATGAGGATGAATGATTCCACAATGCAAGATAGCTACCTGATGTACAGCATTTCAAGGTCATGTCATTAGAATTACATGCATCATGAAATGTCTAAATGCTTATATTATCTATATTTTCTCTGTCATTTTAAATTCTTGTTGATATGGTATATCTTGGATTTTGAAGTTATTTATTCTGTGATCTCTGGCTCATTTGTTCTCTAAAACTAGGCTGTACCTAATGAGCTTTGTTAATATGATTTTGTGTGGGGAATTCATATAGAAATTTTTGTCAGTGTTATGTTATGATGACTTAGTTAGGCTTTAAGGGATTGTTAAGTAGAAATTTTTTCTTATGGTATTATGTCATGGTGACTTAGTTTGACATAAAGTGATTATTAAATTAAGACCAATAGAAATCAAGAATTTGAAACAACTTTCCATGTTATAGTTTGCGGGTGTTTTGAATTTGTGAATTGATAGGACAGCCTTTTCCTGTTATAGAGTGAAGTGAATGATTGACACTTTTTTTTTTTTTCTATTCTAATTGATATTTGTTTTGTGTGTGTGTGTGTGTCTGTCTATTTGTCTGTCTGTGCCTATACCTAGATTTATTTTTATTCATCTACTGCAGTGAGTTGACATTCCATTTCCTTTCAAAAAGCAGAGTGAAGTTGGAGAAGCCGAGGAGCAGAAGTCGGCAGACGATGGCGAGGGCAGCAGACAGGAGTGGGGTTGGGGCTGGGAAAGCAGCATAATGGTGATGTCCGGTGAACAGCAGCAGTTGGAAGGTACAGTCAAGGGCGGAATTTGTTCGCCTTGAATGAAAACTCAGAATCCTCTTAGTCGCATTGTATGGCTGGCCAAGACAGAATTCAAAGCATGATATGGTGGATTTTGTTCTCCCTTTTGAGAATCTTATGTAAATGCCTGGGGTTAAGTAGTTTGAGAGCCTGCGTGAATGATATTTATAGTTTACAGATCACTTATTTTATAAGAGGGAAAAGAAATTTTCATTTTGTTTATCAAATTTCTTGCTCAGTTTCATGGTGAGTGGTTCTTAAAGTAGATCACAAAGAGTCTAGACATTTAGGCAATGTCAAAAATTGAGGAAAGAGTTAACAGTGCTAATATTATTCATTGCAGTTACTCTCTGAAAATATATTAGATTATTACTACATAAGAAGAGTAGAACATGCTTACATCACATAGTGTAATCAAACATTTAGCCAAAAAAGTCATTAGTAACTTCATATTTTCATATGTATATTTATACTCTGTGCTAAGTCCCTGATAAGTTTCATCTCTATTTTAGGGGAATTTGGTGCATCCCAAGCTGAGCTAGAAGCCAGAGAGGACAGTTTAGCCGATGACTCTATAGATGTAGAAGGTTTTGCCAGAAGCCGCTTGGTCGTGGGCAGTGTTGACAGCGACAGCGGAGGCTTGATGCGCCAGGAAAGCCAGGGGTCGCTGTGCGGGAGATCCGTAGACTTGGATGTTCCCTCCTCTATCTCAGAAGATGTGTTTGATGGCAACATGGAGAGCCACAGAACCAGCTTACTAGAGAGGGGCTGTGACCCAGGGAACGAATTTTCCGAAGCTCCCAGAAGAAGTAGCCTCAGTCATCTCATTAGGGCAGAAAACTTAGAGCAAAAGGCTGCAATGTCACGGGGTAATTCCGAAGTCGACACACCAGACAGCATAGTGGTACTCACATCAGACGGCAGCTCACCAGAGGGGGATTCTTCACGAGTCAGCACGGGTAGTACCGACAGATCAAAGCTGACGGTAAACCTGCATCCCGAAAAAATCACCAGTCCTATCAGCTCCCCAGAGTCAATAGAAGTTCTTGGGTCATCTAGTCTGGTAACTTCACCTTCTTCTATAGAGGTAAGTACTTCTTCGGTCTTTGTCTTCTTTTTCTCCTTCCTTTTCTTTCTCTTCTGCTTTCTTCTTTTTTCTTGTTTCTTGCTTCATTGTCTCCTCCTTTTCCTCCCTCTCTTTCCACCTCCTCTCTCTCTCTTTCTTTCTTTCTTTCTTTCTTTCTCTCTCTTTCTCTCTCTTTCTCTCTTTCTCCTCTTCATCTTCTTCTTTCTCCTCCTCCTCTCTTCCCCCTTCTCTTCCAGCTCCTCCTCCTTCTCCTGTTCATCCTCCTCCACCTTCTTGGTATTCTGTATCTTTGAAATTCTACATGCTCAAGTTGTAGATAGTCTTTTTTTATGGTTATACATTTTTTCCTTCTAAGAAATCAAAATCTAGAAACAAATTTTCTCACAGATTTTCTTCTCCGCCTCTCAGGTTTTAAGTGGTGTATCATCTAGCGACTCATCTCCCACGCATCAGGATTCATGTAGTAATACCCTAACCCAGGACCTAAGTCCCACTCCTACTCACATCGTCAGCACTCAGCCGACACTACATACATCGAATAAGCACGCTGTAGAAGCCCCCGCACTCAGTTCTGCCTTGAATCAGGAGAAAGTCCAGCAGGAAAGCCGAGGAAACGATAAGTCTTCCATAGATAGAAAGGAGTACGAGTCGAAGGGGAATGCGGAAGAGTCCACTACTAGTCAGGGCCAGGCTGTGGTGAAGCAGCCCACCCACAGGGAGTCAGAGGAACCCGTCAGTTCCTCAAAAGAGGAGGCGAGTCCAAAAGTGCCGGCAGAGAGCAGTCCTGGCATCAGGGAGGCAGACAGTAGTTCCCGAGCCAGCAGCAGTCTGACCGAGGACACGTCTGCCAGCGAGAGCATGCATAGCACATCCACCTCCAGCACCCACACAGTTCTTGATGCCAGCTTGATTGCTCATGACACTCAAGTACCCACGGAGCCAGTGGAATCAGCACCACCTGAAGGAGGAACCCAGTCTTCAGCACCTGAAGGAAATGTTATTGCTGCAGATGAAGCCAGCAAGTGTGACAGTGAGGCAGCAGTTGAAGAAAGGAAAGGGGTTGCCACTGCAGCATCTGGGACTCTCAGTACTGCAGATGTTGTAGCAGAAGGAATGGAAGGAAACATTGCTGGGGCATCGCTTGACATGTCAGTGGAAAGTGGTGGCAGTTCTGACACCATTACAGCCTCTGTGGATTCAACACAGATGTTATGGTAGGACATTTACCTTTGATTTTCTCCTATTGATTTTTCTGGCTCTGTTTGTCATCATCTCCCTTGAAGCATAATCCCATCCATCTTAGTCTGCTCTATGGTATTAATTTTTCTCTCTTTTCCTTCTCATCTTTCCTTTCTTTTTAACAGGTCCAGTAGATCCCACATCAGTGGAAGCGAACAAGAACAAATAGACAGTAGTATAATTCAGGATAGTGGAATGACGGGTTCAGGAGGCTCCGTCGTGAGGTGCCTCCTGGAGGAAGCCATGGGGGATGAAGAGGCCACTAGCGGAGCATCGTCCCCACCAGAGAGGGAACACTCTCCATCATCCTCTGAAAGGTGAGGGAGTGGAAGGGAGAGGAAGCATTCTCCATCATCCTCTGAAAGGTGAGGGAGTGGAAGGGAGAGGGAGCACTCTCCATCATCCTCTGAAAGGTGAGGGAGTGGAAGGGAGAGGGAGCACTCTCCATCATCCTCTGAAAGGTGAGGGAGTGGAAGGGAGAGGGAGCACTCTCCATCATCCTCTGAAAGGTGAGGGAGTGGAAGGGAGAGGGAGCACTCTCCATCATCCTGTGAAAGGTGAGGGAGTGGAAGGGAGAGGGAGATTTCAAGTGAATGGCAAAGAGAGGGAGATGGATGAGGGGATGGAGGTAGAGGTGTTAGTGAGTGAAGAGAGAGGAGGGAAAGAGGGAAAGAGATGAAAATGTGATGGTGAGTATAAAAGTGAGTGGAAGAGCAAGAAGAGGAAGGGAGGAGAGAAAGAGGGTGAAGGGACAAGGGGCAAGAGAATGAGAGGGAGAGAAAAGGGGGGAAGGAGTGAGAGAGAGAATGATGAAGAAGAATATAGAAAAGTGTAGAAGAGTGAAAGAAGGTGAGAGAGAGAGAGAGAGTAGGAGGTGAGAATGAATGTGAGAAAAATAGATTAGAAAGAGGGAGGGAAAGGAAGAAGGAAGAAAGGAGGGAAAGAGAAAGAGAAAGAAATAGATTGGGAGAGGAATGAGAAAGAGAGAGAGAAAGAAATAGGGAGGAAGAAGGGTTAAAAAGAGAGAGAGAAAGGAATAGGGAGAAAAAAAGATGAGAGAGAGAGAAAGAGAGAGAGAAGTAAAAACTGCAGAGTGAGTTAAGGTCTCGACAACTATTTTGAGATATTATCTTAGACTAAAGACATTAATTTTGTGACCCTCCAGCATATTTGAAATGCATAAGGTATTTGATAAATTACCATAGCAGTTTGATATTCCTTGCCTGACAAACAGCAGTCTAAGCAGAGAAGGTAATTTTCAACTGAAGGGGTTGACAAGGATTTTGTAAGCAGTGTATTTTCAGATTAATTAGCAAAAGAGTAACATTTATTCAGTGCATTATTTGTCCTCTTAAATGACAGGTCTGAGGCACTGAAAGTCGGATCTGGCCACACGTCAGGGCACAGCTCGGGTGATGAGATTGAAACCACAACATCATCTGATATTGAAGTTATATCCAGGTGAGTATTGTTTTTTTCTTCTTCTTCTTCTTTCTTTTACTTTTCTTTTTCTTTTTCTTTTTCTTTTTCTTTTTCTCTCTATCTCTTCTTCTTCTTCCTTTCTTTCTTTCTTATTCTTCATCTTCTTCTTCTTCTTCTTCTTCTGTTTTTTTTATTGTTCATTCTTGTTAGAGAGTAGTTTTAGTGTAAGATTTGGTGTTAGAAGAAATTATATGTTGTCTTCTTCGTTTTCTATCATCCTTTTTTTTCTTCTTCTTTCTCTTCAGTGTTCAGATTGGGAATTATTCGAAATTATAGTGGTTTTCTTCCTTTTTTTCGTCATCTTCTTTATTTCCTATTTCTCTTCCTCTTCATTGTTTTTTGTTTTGCCAAAATTGCTTAAACTGATATGGCTCCCACAAGTACCTAGTCATGAGGGAGTCAGTTATTAGGCCTATCTGATCTCACATTTATACCCCAGGCCTTTAATATTCAGGAAAAAAAAAAATTGATTGCAACTCTTTTTCCTGTTAATGCTATTACTATTATCAATATCAGTGTTATTATTATTGTTGTGATATGGACAGTAATAATTGTGATAATAATTAAACATTTCTTCTCAAAAATTCATGGATTAAGGTACAAAAAGGATATCACATTGACTTCCTAATTGACTCCATAATGTAGATGGCATCAGTTGATTAATAATTTGATTTGGGGGTATTACACAGTAGCAATAGAAACGTAATTTTCTGTGTCTTTGTCTCTAGCCCAAGCTTAGACGGGAGCACAGTTGCACGAGGATCGGCAGCAGCGTCAAGAGTCTGGGCGTCCGCACAAAGAGGACTCCGAAGCTTCCTCAACGACAGATCTGAATCACCTGCGTCAGATTCCTCTTCCAACAACAAGAAGAACAATACAGAGAAAGGTAATTGTCACTTTTTTTTCTTTTTCTTTTTTTTTCTTTTTTTTTTTTATTGTTTCTTTCTGCTAACTCTGGATCACCATCTCATAACGACATTGAATTTGCCATTGGTGCATGAGCATAGATAGCCACAGTTTGATTTGTTCCGTAACCTGTCATGCTTTTATCCCAGTGGAACTGTCAGGAGATGACAGATTTATTTATCAATAACGATACCTGACGTAACGAACCTTATTTGTTACTCAGCTTTTCCAGCATATTATCCTTTTTTGATGTCAAATGGAGTTCAAAAATGTATTAGCATATTCATTGGCATCGTACAGTATTTTGAGAGAAGAAATTTAAGCCCTATATCAGTACTTATAAGAAATGCTTTTGTAAGAATTAAGATCACCTAGTCCATTTGCCATGCTACGTTCATTGTAATGTGTGATTGATGAAATACAAAAAAAAAAAAAAAAAAAATGATTGCAACTCTTTTTCCTGTTAATGCTATTACTATTATCAATATCAGTGTTATTATTATTGTTGTGATATGGACAGTAATAATTGTGATAATAATTAAACATTTCTTCTCAAAAATTCATGGATTGAGGTACAAAAAAGATATCACATTGACTTCCTAATTGACTCCATAATGTAGATGTTATCGGTTGATTAATAATTCGAGTTAGGGCTATTACACAGTAGCAATAAGATAAAAACACAATTTTCTGTGTCTTTGTCTCCAGCCCAAGCTTAGACGGGAGCACAGTTGCACGAGGATCGGCAGCAGCGTCAAGAGTCTGGGCGTCCGCACAAAGAGGACTCCGAAGCTTCCTCAACGACAGATCTGAATCACCTGCGTCAGATTCCTCTTCCAACAACAAGAAGAACAATACAGAGAAAGGTAATTGTCACTTTTTTTTCTTTTCTTTTTTTTTCTTTTTTTTTTTATCGTTTCTTTCTGCTAACTCTGGATCACCATCTCATAACGACATTGAATTTGCCATTGGTGCATGAGCATAGATAGCCACAGTTTGATTTGTTCCGTAACCTGTCATGCTTTTATCCCAGTGGAACTGTCAGGAGATGACAGATTTATTTATCAATAATGATACCTGACGTAACGAACCTTATTTGTTACTCAGCTTTTCCAGCATATTATCCTTTTTTGATGTCAAATGGAGTTCAAAAAATGTATTAGCATATTCATTGGCATCGTACAGTATTTTGAGAGAAGAAATTTAAGCCCTATATCAGTACTTATAAGAAATGCTTTTGTAAGAATTAAGATCACCTAGTCCATTTGCCATGCTACGTTCATTGTAATGTGTGATTGATGAAATACAAAAAAAAAAAAAAAAAATTGAATCTAACTTCTGTTCCATTTAGACTGTACTAATGTTTACTACAGCCAGCCCCAGACCTCCCGTTACAAGTTCCAGAGTAAACACGAAACTTGTCCCATTAACACGGTTCAGAGGTATTGTACCACCGACCAGTCTAAGCAGCTTCCGTTCATTTGCAGGACCCTCTAAATTTTTGTTTTGATTAGAGAAGGAACACACAATGCATCATGGAATATCCCAGTCCAAACCAAATAGAAAATAAGAGAACTTTCCTCTCTCTTTTTTTTCCATTTTTCATTTTGATTTTTGTATCGGTAGTTAGAATGCTGTTCATTGATTTAGTAATGCAATGTATTGTGTTATCCATTCAGACCAAGAACATATTTTAAGTTTTTTTAAAACACTGGATAGTTTTGCTTGTTCTGTTCTTCTTCTCCTTTTATTTTTTATTTACATGTTTTATTTTTTTTATTCTGAATATGTGTGTGGAAGAGTGTGTTTCTAGAGTTTAAGCCAGTTCCCCCCTCAAGAACTGAATCACACGTTAATTCACACCATTCTCCTTTGTCAAGCGGAGACCGTCCCCTCATCCATGACCACTAGCTTCACCAGCATCAGCGAATCCGAAGGAGAGCCCTATACCCCTCTGGTCCTGGGTGACCTCAATAGTCTTGATCATTCGCGCATCTCTCAGGTGCTCCACGACTTGCAGCACTTTGAGAAAGGTAGCTGGAAGCTTTGCCAGGCCAGAGGTGGAGGGAAAGGGCTTCTGTTCTATTTCTTTTTCTCCTCTATTTATACTTTTTTTTATTATTATTATTCTCCCTGTAGTGACAAAATTTGCAACTCTTGCTATCAGTTTGCATCTGTTTTTTCGAAGGTTTGGGGCACCACTTTGGCCTTCTGGGGTGTTGTAATCTCTCATTTGTAAATTGTAGTGCCTCTTAGTTTAAAAGAAGCCCATAGTTCATCCTCAAAAAAAATCTGTAATAAATTCAGACTAAAACCAACAAAGGTCTCTCTAATTTTGTACTCTGAACCAAGCCGTAATACGGAAATAGTTTTCGGTGAATAGCAACGGTAATTATCCCGTAAAGTTGCATTTTGTGTGTGGGGGGGGTGTGCATGCTCTTTTGTGAATGGTGACGGACCTCTAGAAGCTATCCTTTGACACTACCATGAGATTTACGCCTTGTTTTGTTTTCCTCTTTTGTTATTCCTTTAAAGAAAAGAAAAAAAAAAATGTGGTTGCTTTTTAAAGACTCCCCCTCCCCCCTGTTTTCTTTTTTTTTGCACAGTGTATTTGCTTTATTCTCAAATGGGTAAAAAAAAAAATTTGTTCAATGTGAAGTGTTTTGTTTTACAGTCCGTGTGTATGTGTGTTCTGTGGTGTATTAGGATGACGTAACAACTCGTGTGGTTTAGCTTTTTCTCGTTACTGTGACATGTAGCTGCATGAGTTCTTCGTTCTCCCAAAGGACTGATGTAAAACCATATTTTGAACTTTGTGGAATTTCTATTCCATGTTATTTCCTTTAGTTAGAAAGGTTTTTGAATATGATATAGTAAAATTTAAAGACTTCTAGTAAATCTTCCTTTGTATTGTGATTAATTTAGCGAAGATACTTAACTTCTTAATTTCTTTAAAGCATCAAAAGATACTGAATCTCATATTTCAGATAATCAGGACTTTTTGCAGCCAAAAAAAAAACACACAACAAAAGATATTTATTCTTAAAAAAAAACTCTTTTACTTCCCTTCCCATTAGATTGCAAAGACAGAAACACATCACTTACTTGTCATATACTTGAGTATCATCATCACCACCACCATCATCATCATTATCATCACCACCACCATCATCATCATTATCATCATCACCACCACCATCATCATTATCATCATCATTATCATCATCACCACCACCATCATCATTATCATCACCACCACCATCATCATCATTATCATCGTCACCACCACCATCATCATCATTATCATCATTATCATCATCACCACCACCATCATCATCATTATCATCACCACCACCATCATCATCATTATCATCATCACCACCACCATCATCATTATCATCATCATTATCATCATCACCACCACCATCATCATTATCATCACCACCACCATCATCATCATTATCATCGTCACCACCACCATCATCATCATTATCATCATCACCACCACCATCATCATCGCCACCATTATCATTATCTTCACCATTATCATTATCATCACCATCATCACCACCACCATCTTCATAATCATCATCTTCACCATTATCATTATCATTACCATCATCACCACCACCATCACCACCATCACCACCATCTTCATAATCATCATCATCATCATTATCTTCACCATTATCATTATCATCACCATCATCACCACCACCATCACCACCATCTTCATAATCATCATCATCGTTATATTCACTATTATCATTATCATCACCATCATCAGTCCTCATTACACCATCACATTAAAGATACACTGACATATGGATGATGATTCCTTAAATGCAACACACATGAATAACTATTATTTCAATTGATTATATGACCACCAGTTAGTTGTCATATAATTAGAACTGTTGTGTCAACTTGTCATCAGTTGTCACCTCCATGTCCAGTGTTTCTTGCAATAAAATTATTTTAGAATGTCTCTTATTTTGTCCCTTGGTTTCGACCTCATATCTCACTCTTTATGTGATCAGTTCACTGTTGCAAGCAATTTGTATTCCTTATCAAGATGCATAAGATATTTGTCTTTGTATACTTGTAGCTTCTTACTTTTAGTCATATTGATCTAATTGAGGCTGTAATAAATTTTATAGAGAAACAGATCTAAGGTTAAATCTGGTATATCTCTTTATGAATAGCGTCTTGAGGCAAATGCTAACAAATGAAGACGGTAACTTCACTTTTCTCTGTTAAATTCTCTAATTAACTTTAAAGCAACTTATCTCAAAGTTTTCTTCTTCTTGTTCTTGTTCTTCTTCTTCTTCTTCCATTTTTTGCTTTCTCTCTGTGTTTGTCCTGAGATGAAAAGTGTGGACATGTAAATGCTATATTTGCTGCATTCAAGGATCATGATTATATGCATTAGCTTAACCATGCTTTTAACTTTGAACTCATCATTTGGTTCGTTTGTTTGTTTTTTTGTCTTCTTTATCCCATGTGTACTGCATAGATTCCACAAGTCTTTCAATCTTCTCTCTTGTGGTATTTATCTTTTCCTTTTCCTTTCCCTTGACTCGCTTCTCGACTCCTTTCCTTACTTCGTCAAGTTCAGACAATATAATACATTAGAGTCCAGTCTGTATTTGATTTAGGTCTTTATCTTCACAAGGATCTTTTCTCTCTTTCTTTTTTTATGGTTTATTTAGATGAATATGAATATAGAGAGGTAGATTATAGATATATAGAGTATATAAATTTGGGTTCATACTGACATATGTGCAGGAGAAACACACATGCATTTATTTGATTTTCTAAATTTGTGGTTCAACATTCACATCTTTTGTTTTTGAAAGTCTTGTTTAACCTTCACTGCACGTGTAACCAGAAAAGCGCGTTGCTTCCAGGCCATCGTCGTAACCAGTCAAATCTCTCGGAAACAAGTGAGAGTTCTTCGGAGCCACATTCTCCAGAGGTTGAAAAACTTCTCAAGGTTGGTATCCTACATCGTTTATTAAGGTGTGAATAATTTCTCTCTCTCTCTCTCTCTCTCTTAGTTGTTTTTGTAGATGAGATTTTATGAAAAATTAAATGCTATTTTGTATTTACCAGACTGCTACTTTGACAGCAGTATTTTGTTTGTTTCAGAAAATATCACAGTTATCCGAGATATTGGAAGCGCGAGAGACAAAATTGATGGAGTTGAGTCAAGTCAATGCAGCACTACAAGATACAAATTTACGATTAAAAACGTAAGCATATATATGTGTCTGTGTATGTGTGTTCATATGTGTGTGTGTGTGTGTGTGTGTGTGTGTGTGTGTGTGTGTGTGCATGTGTATATGTGAGTGAGTGTGTGTGTGTGTATGTGTGTACAACTTATGAAATAAAATTCACCACAATACATCCAATTTTTATTACCACACTTTATTTATTTGTAGTAACATCGAGGAGCTGGAAGGAGGAGGAGGCACAGACGCTACTGAGTCTCTGCGAGAGGAGTATACTCAGCGCTTGGTCACCATGGAGAGGAAGTTCCAGCAGGCTCTGCGGGAAAAGGAGGCCATCAAGAAACAGCTGGAGGTAAAAGTCGGCTGCGGATCAGTAGCTTGACGAAGCTGTTGTTTAGAGTTTGTCAAGAAATTGTTAAATTTTTAGATGATTAGGAAGCAGGCATTATGTCAGTGTTGATATTCCAATCATCAGTATTACATGACACATGACACTCTTTTCGTCTTCTCATCTTTCATCGAATTACGCCTCTAGGAGGTCCGAGCGGAGGCAGCAACACGACTCAGCTCCTCCGAGGTAGCCCGGGAACGCGAGGAAAAGGACATCGTCATCCAGGAGCTGCGCGAGGAAGGCGAGAAACTCAGCAAGCAGCAACTCAACTACTCCAACATCATCAAGAAGCTCAGGGCCAAGGAGAAGGAAAGTGAGACGACCATCAAGACTCAGAAGTGAGTTGTCGTTATTGTAGTGTTCTTTTTGAGGGTGATAGATAGATACGTAGATAGATAGGTAATATATACGTAGAGAGATTGATATGCAGAAATGTATGTATATGTTCTGATTATTGACATTGACAACCAAATTGAACATTGTGACAATTGTAGAGAGTGCTATGAATGACACTGTGGCACAAGCCATATATTTGGTGCAATTTGTTTATTTTGTGCATTCCCCGTGATGTATTTGAATGCATCAGATACTCGCATGGTAAAGACTTTGATTACATTGTGCCTGTTTCCATCCACACAGATTGACTGATTTCCCATCTTTCTTCTTTATTTTTTCACAGAGACAAGTTAGAAGAGCAGTCAAGAGAACTAGAGCGCCTGAGGAAGCAGCTTTCCGCCAAAGAGGAGGTGGAGAGACGCCAGATCGATGCCGTCTGTCAGCTCAACACCAATAATCAGCGACTGGAGCAGCTGATAAAGGACACCAATGCGGAGAACGCTGAACTCGAGGGGAAAATGTCCGTCTTGAAAACTGCTCTGGATACTGCCTACAAGTAAGTGCTGCAAAACGACACAAGTCAGTATA